TGGGAAGGCTTTCAAGTTTATTTCTTTGCAAGATTAATGTCTCCAGTTGAATTAATTTGCCACATTTTTGAAAAAGAAGATCTGTTAAATCATTCTTTAAAAAATTTAAGTATTTAAAGGGACTGTTAGATGAAGGACACAGCATATGTATCATCTCTGATTCAGCTATTGTCAAGGCTGCGATATTCATGTCTGCAAATATTTTGTATAAGTCATCCTGTGAGAAATACAGATCTGTGATTAAAACTTTCTTCATTGTAACTGCTTTCATAGAGGTGCCTGAATAGTCAAAATCATACATTTCGACGTTTGACAACTGTGTTACACTGTTAATACTGAAGTATTCAATGGATGAGTGCCATACAGTCTGAAAAACATCAATGAGAGCATTCCAGTCCAGTGACACATTTGTCAGTGTCAGATTTTGTAACTTGGAGCCTTGTCTGAAATTAGATAATAAAGCTACTAATTTTTTTACATTGTAATTTGTGATTTCTGACAATGACAGGCTTTCTGTAGTATTTTCTATCACAACCCAGTCAAAATTAGCTTTGGGCTGATGACTATTTGTATACAGGAGTGGCAGGCTCTTGATTTTCTTGTCAGAACCATCTTTTGGAAAATTGTTAGAAACCGATGTGAAGAGTTCATTTTCCACAGACAGGCTGACATGGTTCCAAAAAGTTAATGTAATCAGACACTTGTAAAGAAAAAAGCTTCTGAGAGATCTCATATTTTCTATCACACTCGCTTCTGATTCCTTGGAGATGCTCAATAGTCTTCTTATCTGTCCATCTTTGTTCTAATTCTGTAGCAAAACAAAACCAAAAATCAGATTGCATCAGTAAGGAGCATCATAGGAGCCATCATAGCCAACTTTTTAAGGTTCCAATTTCTCGTCTCTCCATCTGACTCAAAAAGCAATGAAGGTACCTATTACCATTCAGGAGAGGCATTCCTTATTAAGAAAACACCACTGAAATTTCTATTTGGTAAATATATTGTATTTAATATATAATGAGTCTGTTTCTTACAGAACAGGTCTGATTCCATAGATCACTAAAATTTGCTGCCTACTTACAGAATTAATGCTGTGATTCAACTTATTATGAAGGCTTCCCACACCTGCATGATACACTTTGATCAGAAAGTACAATATTTGAGGTCAGTAAGGTCATGCCCTCCTCAGATTCTTTCTTGAAGGATATGAACTAGACTCAGTGACTTTTTTTTTAAATGGACCTGTGACTTTAAAACCTGGACTGAAACACAGTATGGAGGTTCAAGAGATTGAATCAAAATGTTAATATCATTAGTCCCTATTTTAACTGGGGAAACCAGGGTGTGGGGCTAGGATGTTCTATATTTATGCTAAGGGAAAGTCCACAGAAGAGCTCACTTCCTGTCTGCACTTGAGCACCTCCTGTATTTAGACTCTGAAAGTAAGGTGTCCCCGTGTCTGATTTGTTAGGTATACACAGAGGTCACCAAACACACATAGAAAATATTTGCATGCTACACAAAAAAAATACCAGTTGTAGGACCTCTGTACACAAAATCTAGCCCTGATCTAAGGACACTGACCTCAAATGTCTCTGTTGTGAAAGAGAGGCTTATTTAAACACAATGTAGAGAAAAAATCATAACCACGGCTTTGCTTTGCTTTTCCCTAATGGAGGACACTTTTCCTTTCAGAATGTAAGAGTTTAGGGTAGCCAGCCTCCCTTCATTTAAGTCAACCATTCTGAATACCACCTTAAATCTCCTTTTAGACATTGCCATGAATCCACTAGACCGCATTTCTGAAAGAGGAACTGGTAAGAACTTAGCTAACATTTTTTCTATGTGTAGATCTTGATTTAAAGTTGTTTTCCAGATTTCTGAAATCTTTTTACTTCCTTGGAATGTTCTTCCCCTCTTCCTCCCATTACTTTAAAATCATCGCTGTTGACTGAAGCTTTCCATAGTTATTATTCATGACTGTACTGGCTTCCAACTTTCCCTTGGTACTGAATTGGCTAAATTATGAGTTTACATTTCTAGTGATTCTACAATTATTTCCAGTGACTTTACAATGTAATAGCTGTCACCTGGACTAAAGCTACAACCTCAAGGACTACATCCCCATGCCATTCCACAGGCTTTCTTAGAATTACATTACTGTGTCTAAAGCATACATTCTCCTTGATCTAACACATAGATTATGAAATCTCCTGTATTATGAAATATCAACAGTAAAATGGAAATCCATCCACTGAGTTCTTTTGTAAAGAATGAATGAAACCAGGCTTGGAAATCATCTAGAAATAGTGGGGCAAGATGGCAAAACTTTTCCAGCCTTTTCCCAGACTTTTATTTGGAAAAATTATATGAAGTTTTACCATCATAACCCTCAAAAGGCATTTGGACATGTGCAGAGCACACAAGATAATTAGCATCCTTTATCCTGTTCTTCTGATTGTGTGGACAATATAACTGATGTGTATAAAATCAAACAAAATATGTAGCTTCAAGAGAAATATGAAAAAAATCTATCTTCAAATCATTATTGCTTCTCAGGGCAAGATTTCAACAATATCCAGGGACTAGGTGAAAGAAAGATATGATTCTTCCACACTTGCTTAATTTTCTTTCTCCTTCTATATCCTGACATTCAATCAAATTATTTAAAAGTACCTTCAAACTTTCTTATAATAGCCTATGAAGCAACAAAATTAACAAATCTTCTAACACAGGACCCGTGATTTTGGGGATAACACTGGAGAAAATATCCTTTATTGTCATATCCCTTTTAATTCAGAAGTATCCTCAATTTTTCAAACTTGACAAAAAGAGTATTAACAAGATATAAGCAGAGAAACAATCCAGTAAGGTAAGCAAACCAAGATCATAGTGAGAAATTGTTCTGTTGTTTAAAGAGAAAGAGAAGATATAAAAACTGATGTTTTAAAAGCTTTTCCAATATACATTTGGTATAAACTGCCTAAACGTCGTGTAAGACATGTACAGAATGCATTGAGCTATGACGGTTCAGTACTAAGACATGTGCTTCACAAGTTACCAGCATAACACAGAACTCAAAAATATATTTCACATGGATGAAAAATATCATTAAGTTAGATTAATTCCTGAATTACAAAAAAACTATTTCCATTAAATCACTGTGATACCCTTAGCCATGGGTGTAGTGCTAACACACTCTCTCTTTAGACTGCTATTTGATCAGCTTCTTTGGATAAATTTACTGAACATAAGCAACTTTACTCTCATTTCTTACCCATACGCCTTGAAAGTACATCATACGCTTGCTAACAACCCTCTGTGGAAAACATGGCTCATTTTCAAATAAGATGCAGAACATAAAACAGTTTAGGTAACTAGCAACAGCATAAAATCAATAAAATGAAAAGTTTCTCACCAGAAATCCCTGCTCTCCGAAAATGCAGAAAAGGTGCTCGGGAAAAGACAAAAAGAAAACTTCCTGTAACTCTGTCCTCCTGGGTAACAATACTAAAGAACGCCCAAACTTTTTATATGAATGATTGTGCCATCTACTGACAGCTTATGAAACGGCATTTGCTTTCCTCCAGATGTATTCTCCAGACATTACCGTAATTTCCTTATTATTTAATTATTATGTGTTTCCATGCTTTGCAATAGATTAAGCAGGGGAAAACAAATTAATCTTTTTCACTAACTTTATGTCTACACCAAATTAATATGAAAATGTTATTAAAGTAATACTTCTTTTGAGCAAGTTTTACACTGAAATACAAACATCTTCCTCTCTGAACTTAATAATATTCTAACATTATTCTGATTTTTTTTTTCATCTAGCTACACCAATTTAGTTGTCAAGTTCTTATCAAGGCTGGTTTATAAAAGTACTGTCTTATTTTAATTTCCTTTTAATGGGAATGGAAAAATAATCTCTCTCTCCTGCTCCAGCAGTGTTGTGATTGGGTTAAACAGTGGACATGGAAACAGTGGGTGGAGTCTTGCTTTGGTTTTTTTTTTTAATTAAAACAGAGCAGTGACTCGGGTACTGAATGCCCAGACACCCAGGTTATTTTCCTGGCAAAGACATAAACCAGTCTCTTATTTCTGTTGGTCAGAAATTTCATCTTAGCTGAGATGTAAATACAGAACCGCCATGCTAAAACCTACCTCTCTGGGTAAGCACACCATAATACATTCATGATTTAATATTTCAATGACTCAGGAAGCAGGGGAAAGAATCTTTTTTTTTTTTCACTTTAAAGCTTATTCTCTACATCACATTTCATTTCTCAGCTTCAAGTGAAAAGAGGAAAGGATATGGAAAGATAGGACAGGTAGTAAGCGACACAATATGGACAATTCATATTCTCTGTTGTTGCATCGATGAGCCTTATGGTGGTACTCTAGGATTCTATGATTCTTTCTCCATTTCTGTCAGTACAAACAAGAGTGTTCTCAGTTGCTTTCCAAACGACACCTTAAAATGTTGTTACATACAAACTTCACCATTGTCTGCCCTTAGCTGGAAAGATTTTGCTATCCATCCTTACGATGAGATAAAATCCTAAGGCAAGACCTTGATTCTACCAAACATTCATTCCTGTTTCGAAATACATCAGAGTAACTGCTTGAATATAACCTACCTATCACTCTAATGAATACAGAACCAGGTCTATGTTTGGTTAACACGTAATAACTGCCATAAATGAGAGACTCATATTCAAAACTATTGCTTCAAGTAAGCAACAGTATGAGCTGCCCACTGGCATAGTTCAAGTTCTCCAGTTCTGCCTAAACACTATAAAGATAGATAAAGCATAAGTTAAGCAGCAAAATAAGCATATTATCATTAATTGCATGCTATCAGATTTACCAGCGCAGTTACTGGAAGAAGATTAATCTATTCCTCCAATATTAGGCATACTCTATGTTTTGTTAAAAGTAGTCAAATGTAGTTGTTTCCTTCCATATTTTCTTTACATTTATCTATTTATTAAAAGGCAAGTATAGTTTCTGAAACCAATTAGGAAGATAATGACACTCAGAGCAATAACAAACTTCAGTGAAATCTGAGATTAGTCAAGTGTTCGATCTCTATTGCTCATTTATTCCAAAACCATTTGCAATATCATCATAGTGAGAAAATACAAATTAAATTAATTACTGAAAAGTGAAAGAGAAAGAAAATTAGAAAATGCAAATGCTAAATTCAAGAAAAATAATTTAGGAAACAAATATATCCTTCTATCCTCATAGACAAACACACACATCTATAATGTTAATTTCATCCTTAAGTAATAACTTTATATTACAATAGTGACTAATAATGTCTTGCAGTTCTAAACCATTCATGGCCTTGTACAGAATGTGTGAAACTGACAGCGTAAGATCTACTTTATGGCCAAAATTGCCATCTATCACGGGGAAAAACAATCTCCAGCTATTGAGCTTCATCTACCGTGATTCCTTCTAAGACGCTGCCCCTACTCTCCCATAAACTCCACTGAAAAGCAGAGGGAAATCCTCAGGGCCACTCTAGATTTCATTTTCAATAAATACATCTAAACATTAATAAATTAAGCTAAAAGATGCCAGAACTACGAGCATGCCCTGATACCTAAATTCTCATTGAAACACCTTGGAAATAAACTTCTGCTACCACCTACCTAAATGGGAAACTTCAGAGACTTTTGCCTGATAAGCATAAATCACGTAGTGTGTTCCACATTTGTG